AATCGACCTCTGGTGTTGCTCTCATTCTTCCTAACATCATTTTCAGCTACAATTAACATTAAAAAAAAATAAAAAAATGCTTCTAACGCTTGATAGATCATGCCGCAATACAAGGACCACAAGTAAAATAATTTTATTATCATAATCAGGAAAAAAATCGTTCATCTGAAGTAAATGTTTTCCAAGTGTTGATGTGCAAGCCACACATTGTTTCTTGGACAAAATAGCTTATCAAGAATTTGATTAACAAGCTGAACCTCACCCTGTGTACAAAGTGTCGTCGTTGATTTACTAGTTTTTTTTAATTTTTAAATCCGATTTATTGCCTGTATAGGAATATAATGAAAAGCTTTGCTTATCAACGACGATGAATATGGGAAGCAGAATAAAGGAACACGTTACCGCAGGTTAAACTTTTAAACAAATCAATCATGTGTCCGATTCGCACTTTGTTCGTAGTGATCGTTTTTTTTTTTAAACCGATGTACTCTCTTGAAATTAAATAAACGTAGGTGCTAGATTTAATCCTATGTTTGTTAAATTAGTTTTAGACAGTTTGTAGTTGTGTTATATAAATTTGAACATAAAACCCTTTCCTGCATTGTTTTGATTGAAAAAAAAGGGGGGGGGGGGGGGATTGATAAAGTATTTTTTTTCTATATATAACATCAAAATACGAATTACACTTGTTTCTTTCCAATGTATTTTCCAAACAGTTTCAGACACTTCACTTTAGTTTAGATCTCAGAGGTAAAATTGATTGATTGCAATAATTATACATTACGCACAGATCCAAAGATATGTAGACCTACAATGCTTTGTTTTGAAAGAAAAAAAGAAAGCATTATTTGCAAAGGGAAATCGAGAGACAAAATTATAGTTCGGTAACATGAAAAAAACCACAAGGGACATCAATATGCAAATACACGAGAGAAAAAAAAGAGCGAGGAGGATATTCAGGTGGTACAGTTTGGGTAAACAATAGCCGTATCTTGCAAGACAACCGCCGAGTCGAGATAAATTTTGGTGAACGAGGAAGGAAAGAGAGGGCCTGCGTCAAACTGTCATACGGGAAAATTGTGAATATAATTATTTTTTTCATGTATAGGTGAATAGGTCTGATCGATTTATTGTTCTCCGGACATTTCAGGGCGATAGATTTAGATATTACAACTATATTAATTCATTTTAACAAACAAAAGATATAATATTTGGATCATAATTCTATTAAAATTCATTGAAATAATATAAGATAGGAAAATTTCGATGAACAGCAAAAGAATTTAAATTGATTGCACGCTTGTTATCTCTTCATTTGTGCTCATTCATTACATTTTATAGTGTTATATTTGAAATAAAATCGACTGCGGTGTCCTCGATATGGTTGAACCTTTTTCTTCAACGTGAACATGTCTTCAAGCCTCATATGTTTTACTTTTTTTTCATTCACCTAATAAGAAATAAGGAAGTAATAGGAGAGGACTTCAGTTTAAAAAATAATATATATAACTTGCCATTATTAGCTGCTATAATTATACATGTTTGTATTATCTTCGTTGTCCGCACTGAAATCGGATATATCTGAATACACATTTGATTTTAATCCAAAGTTTGAAACAACACAATCACAATACATGACATCACTTTCTTTCTTTTTTAGCATTAAGCATATACTTTCATCGTCTTTATCCATTCTGAGACACCGAACGCATGTAAAGGTATTCACGGAAAATATATAAAGTAGTCCTAGCGCACGCAAAAAGCATGATACACATACACTGTGTCTTCATGTACATGTAGCAATACATGTTGTTTACCTTCAACTGTACTTTATTTTTGTCTATTGTTTAAGTTGAGCTACAATAACTGTTTAAAGGGGCAAACATGTAGGATAATGTAAATAAAGTTTATCCACAAACAAATTTACACACTTGATGAAAATAAATCTTAACAAAAGTTTGTATTTGTTTGCTTTTCCACCTTTTTTGACATGTTAAACAATGTTTTAAGTAAGATATAAGCCTCTAACAGTCCATTCTGTAAAATATTGGACAGGTCTTCGGCCTGCAGCCTCAGACATATCCAATATTTTACAGAATGGACTGTTATAGGCTTATATCCTTTACTTTACATAAAATTAACATTATCAATGATCCATGTAAATGACGTCAAGGACAGATGAACTCTGCCAAAAAGACATGTAGACTTTGCTATCATTCCACACACCAAATATATTTGATCCACTGCTTATAGTATCCGAGACTTGACCACAAAAACTTTACCCTGTTCACTGATCAATGATATGAGGTCATGTTCAGGTGACCCCTGTCTGACGGACTTGTAGACCCAGTCTGAATAAAGACAACCCCACTATCTAGACGGAAACTTCGCAACACAACACATCTATATACATGAACATATCAGATCTGAAGCATCCAGGTCCTCCCTCTACCCCTAAACAAATTATAAAGCTATACAAATAGTAGCCGCCGCCACCAACTGAATGGACAAGAGATTGACAGTTTTCTTTCCAAAGGCAGCTGGTCATATTAGGATACTCGGGCTTCCTCCGCCACTAAAAAACTAGCCACTATATAAAGCCAATTTCTCTGAAAGTTGCGTTAAACACCAACAAACAAAAACAAAAACAAACAAACAAACATATATTTATTTAATTCATACCTTAACCTTAAAATGAACATGAAAAAGACAAAACGAGGCAACAAGCCAAAATTATATAAGAAAATTAAACAGTACTACATTGCTATTGCATTACCAATCCCACACGAAATTAAAAAAAAAATATATTTATGGAAAAATTTATAAAAATGCCGATATTTAATATTCGGAGTTATAAAATCAATTTTCACAAAATGTAACGATAACAACCATTAACCTACCGGTCTCACGATCAACAAGAATAATGAAATTAACCATGACGACGTTTTTATGGACAACGTTTGATTGTTCTTATATGACGTTACTTTATTCCCGGTTTAGTGTGGGCTTCAAAATGTTTATGAATTTATTTTCCTTAGTTATTCTTTCGGTCTTAGTTGACGCATGAAGAAATCTATATATAGGGAAAATATGAAATTGTGGAGTTTGATCCTTGGCGCAGTTTCTTATTTGCCCGCCCAGATGATATAGTTTGGGGTATTCGGGCTGACGGATCTGTTGTTTGTGTACTGTTACTTTTTTCCCTAAATCACCAGTTTGTTCAATGTAATTTTCCTAACAACTATTGCATGTTATTACGTATATTGTTTCTTGACAAGTACAATCAATATTATACATTATGGTGAATTATACTCTATGAAAAATACTATGTAATTTACTTACCAGTTCTTAAATATGGATAAGATATCATAAAGCGTAAAATTAGTTCGATGTTGTGTTCGTTTATTACGATTGATTCGTATGAATTTTGTCAACATTGGTCATGATTTTAAAAGAAGATGTTTTAGATATTTATATAAATATATATATACATTATAATGTAAAATGTCACAAGATACCAGGCTTACATGTATAATTTGGTACACTAGTCGAGCGTTTCGTCTTTATAAGACTCATCAGGGGCGTTCTGATAAAATCAAAAATATTTAGAGGCCTTAATATCAAAAATGTAATTTATGTTAGCTATTTAATTCAATATCAATAAATACATTTAACCAATCGAGCATCTTTTAGGAAATTCTTACTTCATAGAATAGATGAGTTATAGACACTTAACTAGATTTATTCCAGACAAAAATCGTGTCCATGTTGAAATTTTCAATAGAAAGAGATTGTATATACTTGTCAATTGAAATTGATATTCGTCTTCAAAAGGCAAGTAAGAGGAACAGTACCAAACATCGTTAGATGAATTTTTTATTTTACGACCTTGGAGGCATCAGTAGATTACCGATATTCAAATCTCATAAATTCATTAAGAAAATACAAATCAAGAAAGAAAAAAAAACTAGGGGAATCGCATACACCCCAAAAGGTGCAGGACCGGGTGCATCGACAGGATAAGCGTCTCCTGCTATGCGAATCCAAACTATTACAATTGGGAATATGATACAATCAGTAAATTGAAAAAAAAAGATCAGACGACTCAGTCGTCTAAAATTTCATTTGATATGTTCAAACTTTTAAAAGTTTTAAATTGAAAACCAAATTAATAAGCTGTTCGTTAAGAGTAAAAGATTTGAAATTCAAAAACACCAATAAGTGTATTCTCACCTGTCTACCCTATATGTCTTTGTATGTCAAGAAAGCGCGACAAATCAATAAATGTATAATTCACCCTGTTCGATTTTTTCAGATATTTGCAAAACAAGACAGTATGTCTGACAACATACGCTTTGGCTTCAGTAAGTTTAATTTGTATTATATTGTATTTTATTCAAGAAATAATAATAACCTTAGTACAAAGAAAAAAAAAGATGAGATATGATTGCCAATGAGACAACTTTCCATCAGAAACCAGACACCAAATGACGTGGATGTAACCACTAATAGTTTACTGTGTGAGCAAAACCCATAAATTATAGTAAGCTCTAAAACGCTATGAAATGACTTAATGTGAACAAAGTGGAACAAAAACAACAAACGACCTGATTTATTGTAAAATAATAAGATAGGTCGATGGCTTGGAGAAATGCATACGGCTAGTATAGTAGTGACACTCTTGGATTTTTTAAAAATAAAGTTGATACACAAAAAGCATTTATTACTTAACCTTTGACCCCCAACATCTGCCTGCTATTCTTGAATATATATATTTTTCCAATTAAAATATAGACATACTTTAAAACTTAGTAGTATGACTACCGCACAAAATCAGCCGAAAGGATTCAAACACTAACGTATTTTTGTAGCGTATGATAACAGTACATCAAAATCTTGTTTCACACACAGAAAAATACGAGAAACTTGACTAGTTTGCACAAAACATTAAAAAACGAAATTTGCAAATATATCGAATTTGTTAACTTCCATGTACTGTTTGACCAAATGATTTTGACAAATAGCAATTTCTTGTTTTTAGAAGTGTATCAAGTGTTTAATAAGGCTACTATTGTTGGATGCTGAAGGCGGGAGAAGGACTGACTCTCACCTTTCTACCATTTTTTTTAAATGAGATAAAATCAAAGAAAATTAGCTTCAATCCACCTTTCTATTGTAAACACTACACCAAACTTGAACATTTTTAGATATCAGGCAGTAATAATAATATTTAGCATTGAAAATCATAATTTGAAGCAAATATGTGTCTTTCTTTTCGAAGCTTTTTGGTTGCTTTGCTTTATTCATTGATCAAAACAGAATTGATGAGATATATAATATTTAAATAGCATTAATCGTATTAGATTATTTTTTTAAAATATAATAATGACCATCTTTATCAAGTAACACATTTAAAAAAGACATAGTTATAAAACGTTAGTTGTGACAAAAATACAGGTATAACATTCATGTGGTTCATGGCTCTGCTGTCATGGCTGGATTTCCTCAGTAAATATGAAAAAACAAATTATGTGCATAATAAATATGATACATGCCTAGATTTGTGTTTTTTATTTCTATTTATGATGTCTCATGTCCAGTGGCAAATATCTCAAGCATGTTCAGGACGAAAACAAAATTTATATAGATACAATAGGCAGGTCCTGTAATAGGGATCGACCGGGATGAAGATGAAAAATTAGCACAGCTACCTGAACATGTGAGTGTATTGGATAGGGTCAGAAATTTTCCCTTGTCAGGGGCCACCTATTTCTTGGGGGATATCTTTAGAGGAAAATATTACTTTGTTGGGTTAATAAATTGTTTATACTTTATTCTTAATATTCAATAACACGTTTCATTAAGGTCTGTTAACTATAGTGTACAGAATATCCTGCAGAGTACCTCAAACTATTTTTATAAACACAGGAAATAAACCCTTAACAGATACCTGACATGGCAATATTTCTTGAAGTTCGTTTTCGAGCGATTCTTTGTCGAATTCGTACAAGCAAATATAAATTTGGAGGTTATCATCTGTTTATATGACAACAATGGGTCGTGAATATTGCAACCATTACCTTCGTCAGTGGACATTTTTAAACAAGCATGAACGTACCACAGAAATTGAAAGAATAACTGCATGATCAGTTGTGGCGCTTTTGTGGTTCTTTTGTTGCTGAGCCATTCCGACTTTGACTTTGAAACTCTGGTGCCTTGTCAATTCTTAACACATTTACAAAAACTGGACATTATTGTAAAGATAATTTGTTGTAGATTGAGAGGAGCGATGGATCCATGAAACATATTTAAAAATAGGGTAGCTTTTCGGCGAAAAAATGTAAATTTTGTTGGTTTTCTTCAAAATAGACACCTTATTAACGAAATTGGATTGCGATGCATACATAATTTTACTGTTCTCAACTTCTGGGTACTGCATACAAAAATTTAATGTCAATTTACATTTCTATAAATAGCGCGAGGTTAATAAATTTTTTTATCATACGTCATGTCAAAATGCCAGATTTTGATTGGTTAATACGAGGACGACAATTTACTCTATCCCATGGCAAGTACTCTATTACCCTTCACGGAGACGCTTGCTCAAGTGTGCGCTTTAATAGATACGGATGATTGTTATGTACAAGACGACATAGTTTATTACTTTGAATTTGAAATTTAATAGACTGTAATAACAGAACATTCAGTATAATAAATTAAATAACACATATCTGAGAGAATGATAGAGCAGATTGTTACCCATCGAAAAGACATTATCAACCTTTGCTTCGCCTCAGTTGACAATGTTTTCTCGGGGTTACAATCTGCACTAACACCCTCTCAGTTATGTGTTATTTATATAGTATATGGTCGTTACAGATTTTCGCAGTGTTTAAGCTAAAGCTACAAAAGGTAAAGTGCACATCTTTTCGTTTAGTTTGAAGAGCTGAAATTCAAATTTTCAGTGATATTTGATGTTTAAATGACATCGAATGATTTTTTTGACATTTTTACCAACGCGGATAACACCAAATAAATTATGTATTATTATACCGCTTCCAAAAACCTAAGAAATTCAAAAGTATAATTTACCAAGATTTAGGTAAACACAATCACAATATTAGATTTATAAAAATGACCAAAATATCGTCCTCCATCTTAATTAGATTGGAAACAGGGACGTCAGGTCACAAAAGACACTCTTTCATCATATTGTAAAAAATGGTGTAAACTAGAAAAATCTGATAAAAAATCTCTTGATTCCTATTTAAATAAATGTATGAATTTTGTGGATATTCGAATATCACATTTTGAAAATAATTTAGAAATAAATAAAAGAGTACATAATACGCCTATCTCTAGAATAAGAAACAAACTTCAAGTACTTTCAAAGTGGTTTGTGTTTGTAGTGGCCGACAAAGCAGCCAACAATGTGGTGGTGGTATGCCGTAAATACTACACGGGCGTTCTTAAGAATGAAATTTTAAATTCTTCTACATTCAAGTCTGTGCGCTCCACAGAGAACCATATAGTAAACAATTATATCATAACAACATCACAGCTAAAAGCCTCTTCTGAACATTTGAAGGTCCCAACTATGTATTGGTTACCTAAACTACACAAAAAAACTGTGAAATATCGTTTCATCTCGGCCTCTAGTAAGTGTTCTACAACTAATCGTTCAGTGCTTTAACTAGTTCCTTAACTACTATCAAAGAACTTATCATTAACTTTTGCAATAAAACATAAGAAAATAGTGGAATTAACTATTTTTGGAGTATTAAAAAGATGTTTTAGATAAATTACGTGCTTTTGATGGTCCTTTTGATTCTGTTGACAGTTTTGACTTTTCAACTATTTACATTACACTTCCACACAATCTTATCAAACAAAAGTTTTCCTATCTTATTAAATGGTCTTTTGGTAAATCTGAATGCAAATATATTTGCTGCAACTCATTTAAAGCCTTCTTCTCTAATGAGAAAGGTAAATATGCTAGATATACTTACTCGAGGTGTGATGAGATGATTGAAGCTGTCAATTTTCTCCTTGATACTATTTATGAACGTTTCGGCAACAAAGTTTATCGACAGGTTATAGGTATTCCTATGGGCACCAATGGCGCCCCTTTAATATCAGACTTGTTCTTGTACTGTTATGAATCACAGTTTATGACCAAACTCAGGAAAGATCCGTCTAAATTGCTTTTAATTGATTAATTCAACAACACTTACCGTTATCTTGATGATCTATTTTCGTTAAATAATCAAGAATTTTCTAAATATACTGCCGAAATTTACTCAAAGGAACTTACTTTCAATAAATAAAACATAAACGGTAATAACTGTCCTTTTCTAGATTTAGATTTTTCAGTTTTACACAGGAAACTCTACACAAAAATTTACGACAAAAGGGACGATTTTTCGTTCCCTATTGTTAATTTTCCTTTTTTGGACGGTGATGTTCCTTTGGCACCATCTTACAAACACAACTCGTTCGCTATGCCCGTGTCTGTTTTGACGTTTTGGATTTCAATGAACGTAATCTATGTATGACTGGTAAATAATTAAGTCGGTATTTCGTTACCATAAATTACTTCAAACCTTTACTAAATTCTTCCATAGATATAAAGATTTTGTTTTTAAGTCTGGATGTACCCGTAGAAACTTATTTCAAACGAGATAGCACATCCTAATTTTTATGGAGATGTTGTTTACCGAGCCCGGAAATTAAGATACGATCCGGGTAAACTTATATATCCTTTAAATAAACTTATTCTAGAAGGTTACCAATTCAACACTGTAATTAGATCTTTGAATATTGTTTTTATTGGTATTAATATTGATTTTGTTATCAGTAAATTAAAATCAAACTAAATATTATTTTATATACATATGCACATGCATGTCTCTACAATCTGTCGATACCTGTATATTGTCATTGCACAAGCTCATGTTTTTCTCTGATGACTGTTAATGACGTCTTTACACTAAAGCCATTGGATGTTGGATGTGTACTGATTGATATTTTAGTCTTAGATGCATGATTTTTCTTATTAGTTGTTATTGGCTTTGAACTATTAGCTGTCAGTTACTGCGAGTACTCTCAGATCTGTACTTAGTGTCTTTTTGTTGTGGGGATGTATAAGTACCCTTCCACCCACACTCTGTGTTTTTGTTAGATGTATTTCTATTTGTATCCATTTGATGAGTTAAGCCTTTTTCAACTGATTTTTGTAGTTTGTTTTTATGTTATACTGTTACACAACTGTCCCAGGTTAGGGGGAGGGTTTACGCCTTCAAACTAGTTTAACCCGGCCACATTCTGTATGTGCCTATCCCAAGTCAGGATCCTGTAAATCAGTGGTTGTCGTTTGTTGCTGTGTATCATATTTGTTTTTCGTTCATTATTTTGTACATAAATTAGGCCCATAGTTTTCTTGTTTGAAATTGTTTTATATTTGTCATTTCGGGACCTTTTATAGCTGACTATAAGGTATGGGTTTTGCTCATTGTTGAAGGCCTTACGGTGACCTATAGTTGTTAATTTCTGTGTCAATTGGTCTCTTGTGGAGAGATATCTCATTGGCAATCATACCACCTCTGACAGTTTGCTGAAGTGACTTCCCCATGGAGGCCTTAAGTATAGGTTGTGTTCATTGTGTTTATACTATTTAAAAGAAAATATTGTGCAAGCATTACAATGTTATATTATTGATAAATCTATTTCAGATATCAGCACAGTTACTTGTAACAAAAGTTGGACAAAATTGCTTCAACAGAATCTTTTAATTTTCTGCACTTTAAAATAAACCGTGTTTAAAACAAATGCTATTAGAAAATTAAAAAATTATATATTTTGTTACCATAATAACAAAAATTTCATAATACATAAAATGTTAACATAAGAAAATTATTAAAAAGAGAAACGGGGGCCTCGGTGACCGAGTGCTCTAAGTGTTCTTACTACTGTATCACTAACCTGTCAACACTGAGGTTGTGAGTTCGAATCCCGCACGTGGCAGGTTCGCTCGACTCCAATTTTAGTTGTCAAGGATTGTCATTTTTCCTGCCGAAGGTCGGTTGATCAATTTAAGAGAGTAACAAATAAACATAGTTGTTTTTTTTTTCTCTCTTTTATGTGTACATTTAATATGCAATATCAAAAAAAGAAACAAATTAACAATACATCTTCAGACGCACGAAATTAATAAAACGCTATTTTCATTTACAAGCACTGGGTCAATACCATTTCTGGCGAATTGTATGTCCCCGAAGGTATCATCAGAACAGTAGGCAGTTCTTCGGTACTGACATGATTTTTCTACTATTCTCAATTTCCTGTTATTCAACGTACTACACAAATTAACAGTATCTAACTGAACTACGATTTTATTGGAACATGGAAAACGGAATGGAAACTGTGACTTAGAAAAGTTAATTTATTGTTCTCTTCAATATCGAAAAGTTCAACCTAGTGTCGCTATTCCCTTAATGGCGATACATTCCTGATTAATAACTGTATTCCGTGTTTTCAACTAACCTATTCGATATTATTTACACTATTTCATGCAAACAATTGCTTGTATTACAAAAAAAATTTATTTTGATGTTCTTTTCAACAATCTCGTCTTCTTTTTCTCGATTGTGACATTACCTATAGTGACTTATTAACGGATTTAAACTTGCTTGAACAACAATGGCAACTATTTTCTAAACGTTCGAGAGAATGAAAACAGAAATTCAGGAAGATTACGATAGCTTTAAAAAAACATGTACCGTACACGTTTTTCATTTCCCGTTAACTTTAATAAATTAAGTCAGTGTATAACAACAAAAGTCCTCGAAGATATCAGACAAAATGTCTTATTGCCTATCTGATATAAACATTTATTATTCAGTAAAATATATTGACATTTTGTAGATATGCAGAAGAACAATATGGCACATCAATCATCATTTTATGGTAAGATTTACCAGTTACATGAACACAGTGCTTTTTGTATGTTTGCAGCTTAATATCATAGTTTTATTTTTTTTTTAAATTTCCAGAGTCATACGAATGTTGATTTTGATGTTATTTAACTTAACGAGTTTGATCGTCATTACTGCATGAATTTTTAACATTCCTTTTCCTTCGATACGTTTTGATTTTTTTTACCTTCGTGCCTTAACCAATTGGAAGACCGTCATACACATACATGTATACATAGAAAATATAGGGAATTAAAAGTCCGGGTGTTATATCATCTATAATTTTTAAAACTGTAAATAGTGAACAAGATTTGCATTTTTGATGGAACATACCTAATTTGTTCATCAATATATCAAAAGACTAACAATTCGAAATTTGTAGTTTAAAACTCAAATTGTATGACCCCAATCATAATTTTTATCAGTGTTATTCCTTTTTTGCAAAAACGTTAACGATTCTGTATGATTTAAAGATTGGACTCAAATACATAAATTTTTCTTGTAACATAAATTATGATTATTCTTCAGATGTATGCATCAACAGTTCAACATATTAATAATTAAAAAATAGAGAATATATATATGAGAAAGAGTTGAATTATCGACCTTCTGTGCTATAATCGCAAATTTGGTAAAATTCATATTAAGAATATGATGAAAATAAACATATCATTTCTCAGACCATTTTTTATTACCCTATTATTGAAGTTTGATAAAAATAATAAAAAAAAAAAACGTCACCTGCAACTAAAATTCGGTGAAAGTAATATAAACGAAGTTGTTAATCTATACTGAAAAAGTAAAGGAGGAAAAACATCAGAGCCTTGGCGCACCCCCCCCCCCCCCCCTCCCCCCTTCCAAAAAAAGAAAAGAAACACACACACATACACTTACACGTTTATAGATGGACCTACATTTCAATGTAAGTGTTTGATTTTTATGTTTGCATATTTATGTGATATATAATTTTCTAACCACCTAAACAATTTCCCCCGAAAAAACAGCTTTGTACTTTTTAATCAGACCTCGTTGCTACATGTACCACTTATCAAAAGCTATCGATATATCACACAGTTACTATGTAAAGCAATGAACTAATATAAAAATGGCTTTATGCTTTACATTTACATTACATAACAAGATATTCATATGTTGTAAATTTCTGTCTGGAACGGTTATCCCATAACTTGGCGGCTGGTATCTCCAATGTCCGTGAGAATTTTTTGTTATCTAAGTGTCAATCGTCGTGTTGTATGGGAAATCAGGTAGAGCTGGATATCCGATTAATGCCTGAAGTAGTAGAACCAAATATAGCTAGGTTCAAGGGCGTTTCGGTTATAAGAAATCAAAGAGGAATATTTTCCCGATTAAAATGTTATTTTAGCAGTCTGTGTAGACCGAACAACAAAACCAGACATACATGTAACGAACGATATCAGTAATAACAACATATAAAGAAGCCCAAGAATTAAAGGATTAAAAATATCAAAAGATACCACATAGAACTAACAATTATCGAGTAATAAGAGCAAGTATTGTCCACTGCAGGTAATGGTAAGTAATTGTAAATTATTGCCCAGACTGAAACAGTGGATAAATAATTAAACAAATAAAATTATAAATATCCAGTCCAATCCAATTACAGGGTTTAAACACTAATATCTAAATTTAATCAAATTCCGAAATACTTTTATATGAAATGAAAGCCAAACATGAAACAAATGAAATTATAAAATGTTCATGAAAACACAAATCAGTCCTTACCCCCGGCTTAGTATATTACTCGGATTTCGATTGGCTAATGACATGATGTTTAAAAAACCCATAGCCCAAAATTTTGCTGACCCATATACCTGGGTGTTGCTACTTATAATCCCGGGGAACTTCACGCGCGTTTTCCTAAGTTTCGTGGTTGTTCCCAGTGAAAAATTGAATTCTAAGATTATCCATGATGTCGGTAATTAGATATGTAGTCCACTAACGATTTTATTATATTATGCCGATCATTGGCATTCATTTCAGTAAAGACATCACTTGGCAACCACGTCGTCAGTGAACGGGACTACTGACCTAGTTATGCAAATGACCCATGTCGACGTCCCGCCTTCTATGACGTAATGCTCATTGAGCGTTAAAATTTATTTTAGTTTATCTGTCTCTGGATTAAAAACGCCTTATATTTGACTATCTATAGGGTTCTACCCAAGGTAGTTAGTAGTCTACATCCCGTAAAAAATATGTCCAATTTTGAAATTTCAATAAAACTTTTTAAAACAATATAAAAAAATGTTGCTTTCACGTTACACTTTGTGCCCAAATTTCCCTCAAAATCTCCCGATTTGGACTAAGATTAGGGATTAATTCGTTATCTACGTTCATATCCGTATGTATGGGCTTCGCCTCAAGGTGTAATGGGTTGAAATATCCAAATCCACGGATATGAACGTCGATAACTTAAATATATCATATGTCATATATCACCCCGATCATAAAACGATATAACTAGTTTTAAATGTTAATCGTTAATTCAGATAAGATTCTGAACTTTATCAATATTTACGAAAGAAAATAATATATATCAGATGTGAATCATTTTTGTCTTTATTACAGGGTTGTTACCATTACCAGATTACGACACAGACGATCTTTATGAAGAATTACCTGGTAAATCAATTTACAAGACCATGCACCGTAAAAATATAAATATGTATATTTGAACATATGTTTGCATCTGTAATTTTCGTAATGAAAGATTTGATAAGTCACATTACTGGCATTTATAAAATGTATAATAGTAGACTAGATACTATCGTCAAAATGTTCATCATGGATTTTACTAGAATGAGTTTTTTCTGGACGGTCTTTATTGCATAATACAGATGTTATAAATAGTAGCGTTTATTTCGTCACGATGCATAATTACATTATTAGTTGTATTATAAAATTACGGCCTTCATCAAAATGTTATATCTAAAATTATTAAATCGAGTCTTCAATAATAATTTTGATATTAAATTTTGATGAAAGCCATAATTATGTTATTATACTGAAATAAAATGTGATGGGATAAACAAGTTTTATATGCGCACATAACTTCACCTTTACCTATCTAGAAATCTTCCGTATGACATAACAAACGAAGTCCAGAATGCAGTTAATGAGCTGTCCATTATAATATATAATTCCTATGACTATCATCTAGTTCCAGTTAATAATATAGAGGGTTCAACGTCTATCGGAAAACTGTTCCCACAAAGCGTAAAATGTGCATAACTGTAAAATATTTACTCGTGTATCACTTAGTAAACCAACAAGTACTTGATTAGTATTTCTTCACCGAGTTATTATCCATATCCTGAACACAATAACAATTAGTCGAGTGACATTAACCACACAACTTCATTTTTAATGCACCCTCCTAACATACGGCTAAATCATATACCATTCGAAAGCATATCATCTGTACTATCTTTTTTGCCCGGTCGTCAAATATTCGTACGGTTCATTGTTTGTCAAATCGCGATGAAAGGTCAAGGACGGACAATTTCTTATTTTACGTCAGCATTTTTGCATATTCTGTATTTGAGATAATAAAATTCTGTATGGAAATGTAAAAACTTTAAGAACAGAGACTATCTGTCTATTATCAAACACACTTTAAAATATCAATGACGTATTTTGATTAATAGCGCCTTTTTCCAGAAATAACAGTGAAAATGATAAAAATGAATGAAAACCAAAATATTTGCCTGTGATTTAATTGTTAATTACCATAAAACTAGATAACATATTTCTTTTGGTGCTAAGAAAGTTTTTGGAATCATCATATTACTGCAATCACAATTCTTGCTAATTACTGTAAACCAACTTACTTTCGCGGATACTTTATTTCGCGTAAAGCCCTTTCTAGCCCACTTTGCGGCGATTTGATTTCGCGATTTTCAAATTCATTTGATGTAATTGAATGTGAGAAGATCAAATTTTCGCGTTAATTTTCTACTCGCGAAAGTCGCGAAAATAAATCGCTCGCAAAAATTAGTTGCTTTACAGTACATAACCAATCATAACAACCTATAGAGTTGCCCAAAATACAAGCATCTGCAAAAAGATTGTTTTTTAGCTGTTTTACGTGAAAAAAAATTATGTATGAGGGCAATAATACACGCGGGATTAATGCTTTTAAGGGGAATTTAGGGAGCTAATTCAAATTTCAATATTTAGTTGAGTTGCCAGCCTGTTAAACACTCTTTTGTCATTTCTTGTTATTTTGTTTGTTATTTCATGATTATCATTAAAAGAAATAAAGGACTTTATATTTAAATATTAAGCTAGGCCCCAAAAAAAACTAAATACATAAATAGATAATAACTTAGTTTCAAAGTAAATTAATGGAAAGTTGAATTGCAAATATTTCTCTTACACAAATCAGAAAAAAAATGTTTTCTTGGTTGCTTCAACTACATCATACATTGATGAAAAAGTTAAAACTATTATATTCTAGACACTGAAAATGTTCTTAGTGTCTGTCCTTAGTAGGAAACCCTATCAAACTACGCAATGTTCTAGTAAAATTTGACATGTTGCAGTTACATGTTGTATTTTGCAAAACCTTTTGTAATTTATGGTCCCCAGTGCTCTTCAACTTCGTACTTTATTTGACTCTTTTAACTTTTTTTTATTCGAGCGTCACTTATGTGTCTTTTGTAGACAAAATGCGCGTCTGGCGTACATCATTTAAGCCTGGTATCTAAGAGTTTATTTACAACCACTGGGTCAATGACACTGCTGGTGGGGGTTTCCTACCCGAGGATATCACCAGCCCAGTAGTCATGACTTCTGCGTTGACATGAATTAACACTGATATGGTCATAGCTATAAATTAACTGTTTACAAAACATTGCATTTTTACAAATTCTACGGCTTTTCTACCCCTGGGAGTAGACAACCTTAGCTGTATTTGACAAAACCTTTTCAAATGTTGAATTGGATACTCAATGCTCTTCAACTTCGTACTTTATTTGGCCTTTTTAACTTTTTTGATTCGAGTGTCACTGATGAATCTTTTGTAGACGAAACGCGCGTCTAGCGTACAAAATTTTAAACCTGGTATCCATGAGAAGGTTTTTACATTGACTAACAATCTATTTCTTTTGATTTGAAAATTCTAGCAATTCGCAATGATTATAGTTATGATTAGACTTCCTAAATAGTTAAATTATTACATATAGAATAAATAGCTATAAAGAAAAAATACTGGGTATGTGTCTTACCAACAATTCGACCAATTATCACCAATATAAAAAAGAAGATGTGGTATGAGTCCCAATGAGACAACTATCCATCCAAGTCACAATGTGTAAAAAGTAAACAATTAAGAATGTTTTGTAAACGTAGGCAACCTCTGACAAAACATAGCACTTTTCATATTGCTGCGTTAATAGATATAAGAAGATGTGGTATGAGCGCCAAAGAGACAATTCTCCATCCAAGTCAAAATTTATAAAAGTAAACCATTATAGGTCAAGCCCAGCTGTTGTTGACCTGGCATCGATTTTCGGTTGATTTTCACACTTTATTTTTATACTACAGAAGAACAAGGTAAATTCTATTGCGCTATTCTTTCTAATCATAAAAGTCACATAAATAAATTGGTTGCTAAAATTAGTTGATTTGAAGTATTGTCATTCCCAAAACTAACTTAAAACCTTTAAAACTTTATCCAAACAATAACATGAATAAGTAAAATCGTTTTTTTTACATTTCAATGCTTTGCATGTTATAATCTGTTCGTTTGGTTTTCTAATGGTGAGAAGATCTCATAACTGCAATAAGTGCCTGTTATTATTTGACCTTTAAAAAACATACAACATTTTATGTTTAAATGTGAGATAAAGAAGCTTTACAAATGAGATCACTTACAATCAGGACTGTAATGGTGAATTTGAATTCTAACATAAATGATTTGTGATGTAAAGCGTGTGGTGCAAACAGTATTTATTCGAATATTGAACGAGAATAAACTTCTTAATATGTCTTTCACTTTCGACATCGAATAAAATATCTTTCGATTATATATACCTTGTATGTTCCTTACTCACTTTTATTACCCCATTTTTAAATATGGTAAATTATTTTCTCTTGATATTGACAACAATCGATCTGTTATCTAAACAATGAAAAGCAAAATGATCCATATATGCAGATGGTGGTTTCAAGAGCAACTGCAAAAGCTTCTTTAGTAGGCTGATTCCTGACCAGTATTATATGAATTGCAGTTAGAAATGACGAAAAAATTTCTTTCACCTTCAACCCATTTCCCTGACGTCAGTCTATTGTTCTTACTGTAGATTATTTTTTAAGAATCAACTGACCATAGTATTAACTTAAGAGAACTTATATTATAACTTTAAACTTTTAACTTACGATCTTTTATCCTCTCAAAAACGAGTGGCATGTGTAGGATTCGAACCCGCGCGAATTTTCTTCATAATCAATAGAATCTTTAGTCTATGCATGATACCACTAGACCACGATGGCCGACATCAATCATGATATGAATAGTACTCTTAAATCGCTTAATTGTCAATACATGTCATTTAACTGTATTTCTGTGTAATTGATAACTTGCCCTTGTAATCTAATGAAATATATATATTTTGGTTTGTTCATGTTTATTGAATTTGTTTTGTTTTGGGTGTTATTTTTGTTTAAAAGAGATGAGTTAAAACTACTTCTTTGACAGTAAAAACAGAAACAAAATCATCGCCATTTTATGAAAATGTAATATATAATACTTCTACATGTTCTAGGATTAAAACAAAATTTTGGTCCAGAAAAAAAATTACTATTGAAAAAATTTCATTCCGGGTACAAGATTCGAACTTTGCACTGTTAATGAACAGCTTGATGGTAAGTTTATAAAATCAACATAATTATTCATTGTACATCCGTAGCAAGAGCAATTATGATGGGGAATTCAGAATGCGTACCACAAATAAAACTAGTTTATTTACCGGTGAACGATATATGCCAAATGTAATAACGTTAAAATAATCTTAACTTAATGAAACGGAAACAGTTTAAACAAAATTTAAATATAATTGTTCAATTTAAATCGTAAGCACATAATTTTAATACTTTAGGAAAGCAAAATGAATTTGAGCATTATGAAAAGGCAGATTTATGGCATCTATGCTAATAATACTTATTTGATTAAGAACGGTGTTTAGTCTTCAATATACCAAAACATATTGCTAAATATTATATATATAAATTTTGAAGGTTCTAAATTTTGGTAATTAAAATTTTTTAACTTTTCAAAACAAGATAAATAAATTCAGTATATTAATAAATGTCTTTTTGAATAAATTAAATATACCAAAATCTATTCAATTTGAATAATTTGTAATGATTAAACATTAAATGAAATATGTATATACAAAAATAAAATATCTGGTGTTAAAAAAGGGAGCTAACACCCCATTTAAGTTATCTTAAACTTATGTTAACTTGTCAAATGTCTAAATATAGATGCGAACCGTGTGGATATAATCATTTCCAGCTATTATAGAATAAAAAGACAAAATACGAAACTATTTTTATGAAATATCGTGGATTCATTGTCAAAACGTAAAACAGACAGTCGTTTTACTAGAAATGGTTTAAGCTAGAGAATTGATAAGAAGTAGTGGATTCGGAAACGATAATCAACTTGCGACTAAAGTCGCTCGTTGATTATCGTTGACGAATCCACTACTTCTTATCAAATCTCTACTACATAAACGATAAATCTATTTTATTTTTAACATATAAATATTGATACATAAAGAAATGTTTTGCTTTTAGAGCAATTTAATCATTTTTGAAAGATTTTTTAAAATTGCAATTTTCTCTAATTATTGCGCAATTAACATTTTAATGTGCACCTGATTTAGAATTCTGGTATTTTGTTCTATTATGTCATATGATTTTAGAAAAAAAAATATCATAAAGAACCAGCAAAGATCATTTTGTTTAATTGTTTAATTATTACGAAATTTTTGAATGTTCATTCTTGACCTTTGACCTTGAATTAACAAAAATTGCACCGTACGAATTATTGACGACCGGGCAAAACAGAAAGTACAGATAATAAGCTTTCGAATGATGTATAGTATAGCCGTATGTTAAGTGGGTGCCTTAAAGTCGTTAACTAAGCGTCTTTTTGAAAAATGTCACTCGTCTAAATAGGTCTCATTAGGATGTTATGATATATTTTGGGTGGCAGCTCGGTGAAAAATTGACTAATCGAGTACTCGTTGATTTGATCGAGCGATATTCGCATACTTGTTTGGAAAAATATCTACAAAATGGGAAAAGAATAATACGCCGTTTACGCATTCTTGGTCGTAGCTTAATTGACGTAAATCCCTGAACATTATTATCTTTGGCTAGATAATTATAGTCCAAGGCATGATCTACCGTAATTTATAATATGGCAAAGTCCTCTCGACCAATGAAATTGTAGATTTTGATGTTCCTCAATTGTGCAGAATGAACGTAAATCATGTTCTTGGTAAAGGATTATCCTATAATTGTTTAGGCATACTTACAGTTCAAAACAAAGACTTTCTATAAATGAGTTACAACTGCCCCGAAGCAAATTTATCAGCTTGAAAGGATTTAAGATTGAAACTGACTAAAAGTTATATTTTGAAACAAACAAGAATACAAAATAAGATTGAAGTTAACTAGTGCAATAAAATTGGTACCGTTAATGACTTATGTGAATATTTAAAGCTTCAAAAATACAGTAAAAACTAAAGAATATCACAGCAATGCAAAAAAGAAAACGAAATTTTTAAAATTAGACATATTCTAGTATTAATTCCAATGTACAGGAAATTACGTTAACTTTTAAATTTCATATCATTTTAAAATGAATTTTATTTGAGCATTTAAATGTTAGTGCATTATGTAATATAAGATTTAAAGAACTGGATTTAAATATTGGCTGTGGAATAAGATTTATTGATTTGAACTGTAAATAAACAAAAAGATAATTCCTAGCTATCATATTATACAATTTACATTCATATTCACAATTGGAAAACTGATACAAATGTCTACAATTTCATCGTACTGTTGTGTCATATAGCGTCTAAAACACAATTTATCAAAATTTCTCAAATTTTAAGAAAATCCTCACATCACTAAGACTTTTAATAAATGAAATGCCTGTAAAGGAACTCTTGTATTCATTAAAACATTGCACTGACAATGAAACTTATTCTAGATTAAAACCAATCAAAAAGTAAAATAACAAATAAGTAAAAAACCGAAAATTCAAAACGGAAAGTCCCTAATCAAATGGCAAAATCAAAAGCTCAAACATATCAAACGAATGGATAACAACTGTCCTATTCCTGACTTGGAACAGGCATTTTCTTATGTAGAAAATGGTGGATTAAACCTGGTTTCAAAGCTAGCTAGACCTGTCACCTGCATGACAGTCGCAAATAATTCCATTATATTGACATATCAAGAGATCATTTGAACCTCGAGCACTTTACAATATTGTAAGTTTGTAAGAGAATGATAATCCATTTTCATTTTCGCTAACCCTCGTACTAAATCCTGAATAAAGGGATAACCATTCTCTTACATATACTAATAGCTCAATCACTACATGTACCAATTAAGTGAACAATTATCTAATAATCAATGAAATAGAAACCTTTTGAATATAATACATGATTGTAGGCCTATAGTCTAATCAGATCAAACAAAAGTTACTTTTTATATTCAAATTCTTTATTAACTTTGAGCCTTACGGCTCATCAGTATATTTAAATACAGTACATACATATGGCATATTAAAAATCAATATTAACAATATGTATAAATAACAATAGGTGACGTCTGAAGTTTCATGTTTACAAAATTTCTTTACAATAAACTGTTTGATTAAAAGAGAAATGTATATATTTTCCTAAGTTACAAATCTGTTTTGTGTTTTCACCAGACAATAATTCTATTAACTTAAAAGTTGATGGCCTAGACCAGTTATATTTTCTGATATATTTTTTACGCAAATCAGTATATCTGCTACATTGTAGGATGATATGAAATTCATCCTCTATCACTCTTAAATCCCAAAAAATACAATTTCTTTCATTGCTTGTAGTACCAACATAACGTCCAGTTTCAATGCAAAGGTTATGTGAAGACAAACGGATCCTTGTTATACATTTGCGAAAATGTACAGAATTTCATTTCTGGAAATAAAATTGCAAACTACATTTGTTACCACATACTTATATAAACACACTTTGCAGAAGAGTCTAATAAAAAATGTAACTCTTGTTTAGCTTGATCAAACAAACGCTGTCTTATTAAAGGTACATGTAAATATGAACTGTCTGCATTCAGCAACCACTGATTATCTAACAAATTATTCAAACCAATATAAATAAGATGTGGTATGAGTGCCAATGAGACAACTCTCCATCCAAGTCACAATGTATAAAAAGATAACAGTTATAGGTCAAAGTACGGCTTTCAACACGGAGCCTTGGCTCATACAGAACAGATATTAATGTAAAGAAAACAAATGTCCAAAGGTATTATATGATAACATGGATAAGAAGTCAACGATGTGATGCCCGATTGTTCTTTTTAACTTTATTTTGTTCTTCGGAACGATATTTCGCTCTAATATGGTGCAACTTGCAGTTTGTAAAGTATTTCATAACGGAAGATTTCGGATGCATTTTAAATGACAATTTCGCACACAAATACAAAACGTTTTTTAAACTATGATTATTTAGTGATTTCTATTGAATTCTCGGATAGGCGTTCTCCAAAAACAAAGTATGGAAATAACGGGACAGTGTCTCAACAGGAAACTGATAAATCGAGTATCATTTTAGAATTCGATACTACCTAGCGATACTCGAGTACTAGTTGGCATCCCTTTTATATATAATAATAAGTTATTTCTAAATATTGTCATGGGGGTACTTAACGTTTTATGCAGACGTTTCGTCTGCAGTCTATCCGCTACTGTTCAATCTTGTTTTCGAAGAAGCAGTTTGTCGTTTTGTACATCTAAGTTACAGCTTCCGGACATTATCAATGCAAATATAATTTAACAGCATTCACATTGTTTGAACAAAACTGACATTACCTTAGTGGATATAACTAAAAAATGATAAAAACATCTGAAGATGACTAAATAATTCATTGGTAATTTTTCAGAACCTGTTCGATCAAAATTGTCATATCAGTGATAATCATTTATGCAAAAAAAAAGAATTGCATACAAATTTTGCAATTTTACCTGTAATACAGGAAAAAAATTTTCAGTACCATATCTGCATTTAATTCATTATTTTTGTAATTGATATGGGCGGAGCTCTTTCGGATCTGAAATGGTATAACATATTGTTTTTCTATAAATATTTCTACGTGTCTGTTCAGCTGGTACGCCAATGCAGTATTTCTTATTGTTGAATAAAAACTTTTCTCTGACTTTTTTTCAGATGCAATAATCTGCATGATGTTTGAGTGTTCATTATAATACTGTCTTTTTAAACAATGTTTATCATATTTTTGTGCGCAAGGAATTAATATAATTTCCTTCTGTTTTTTTTTTTCTTCTTTTTAATAGATAATTCACCTTCAAAAGAAGAAATCAAAGGAATGAAAGGTAAATCATCAATGTAGCTTATATTTGTAGCTTGCTATGCGATATTGGTTTTGCTCATTGTTGAATGCCGTACGGTGACCTGTAGTTGCTAAATTTTACGTCATTCTAAACAAGAATTCTTACCGTTAATTACCGTTTTGAATTTTACTGATGTGCCTAATTTACAGCGTAGCGCTAAGATGATTGTGGAACTTAAATCATTAAATTGAAAGACCTTCTCATTGCATGGTAAAGAAACCACGGGATGTCATAAATGATTTCAATTCTAAGAAAATGTACGAATATAATGACCAAAACATTTGTCATCCATCAGCATGATCAGACAACGGCATTTAAAACAGAGATCCCAATGTTGTTTTGACAAGAAAAGGTTAGGTTTTCATATTGAATTAAAATTACCTTTACTGAGCCGAATCATTTCTAACATTGCGCATAAAACATATTGTGACTTTAGGCAAGAATTATTGTATATCTTGAAATATAACATACCACAAGCGAAGACAAGAAGTCATATTAGAAGAAATTGCGATTACCGGACTTGGTTTATAAGATTTTAAAAAATATTATTATGGATGTTCAAAGCAAATTGGCTCAATCAGAGTTCCGACGATTCTTTGATCATAATTTTTTGGTACTTTTGGTGATCTTGCTACAAACTACATTGATTAATACGAAAGATCAGCTATGGACGATCTATCAAAACTTCAATGCGCAGAAATAGAAATCGTAATTTCATTACTTCACAATGTAAAATGTGGGGTGGTTAGACCGTTGTTGGGGGTTGAAAAGGCTATTAAAGAGATCAGATGGGGCTGAATTGCAAAAGACAGTTAAAGATAATTTTGAAATGAGGGTAAGGGCGAAATTCCTTCTCTAGTTTTATTTTGCAATACTGTTTTTGAATATCAAACGGATTTAGAGCCCATTGTCCGAATCGACGACAATCAAACAAACTCTCTATCTTGCTTACCTTAAGGACATGTACAAAGTTCATGAAGATTGAAAGATTACAATGGATCATTTATCTTGATTCTCGTTTCAATTTTCAATATTCAATTGACAATTCATTTGCTCTGTACATACCGAAATTAAATATTTGACGGAATTCTTTTGAATAGTATCTGCATCTATGCATAGCCTAATTGGAGTCAAAATGCATTGACCTTTATAAACCAATTAAGCGGTATTTGGTTGTGTTTTGCAATACATTTTGAGTGTCAAGAATGCACGTTGAGCACTTAATTTGCATATGTCAAAGAAAAAATGTTTCAAAATATTCCTCTCAATGGCATCGGTATCTCTATACAAATTTCTTGAAGCTTGAAAGATCCGAAAGGTCGATCCAACGCCCTGGATCCTTTTATCTTGAAATTTCGTCGATTTTTAATATTCATGTCACACTTTGGGTCTCCCGTACATATATGTAAAACAAGAAAACAACAAGGGAATCTTTTTAATAAGATCTGTATCAAAACCTTTTTAACTGTAGGCCAAATTTTATTGACATTTAAAATTCGTGAAGGTAATGTGAGCATTTCTTATGTTTCTAGCTGAATACAAATATTTTAATACACTTAACACATGGTTAAAAAGTAAGAAGATGTGGTATGATTGTCAATGATATAACTATCCACCAGAGACCAAATGACATAACTTTAAGAATCTGCATTCAATTTAAGTTATATATCATTTCTTTTACACATTGTTATTTTTTTTCGCTTTAAAAACATCACGTACAAATACATTGCCTCAAGTGAATAATTATATTTGGTAGCATACAAATTAATTAAAACATTATCCAACTATGTGTGGAAACCTTTGTATTTGCTATCGCTTCAGAACTGTCGGCATCGAAGTTCAAGTATAAAGTTGATTGTGTGGAGCTTTAATAGATAAACGTTTAGTTTAAATTATAGCAGAAGTATATCTGTTGGGTTGTAAATGTATAATACTAAACCTGATTATAGGATAAATAAGCAATGGTCATTCATTGTAGGAAAATATAACATTTATTTGCACGAGCATTATAAACATGAAGAAAAGCAAGGCTCGCCGAACTTTTCTCCTGTATCGTTAAGAATAAAAAATAAACGTAATTTTACTGGAATGTACGAATATTGTTTTTAGTCTGCAATTTGCCATTTACGCTTATAAAAAGCGTTTGACTTCCCAAACGTTGAATTTGATAACAAAGATATCGACATGAGTCATTACCAACTGATGTTTTCAGTTTGTTTTTATGTTGTGTTGTTACACCACTGTTCACAAGTTAGGGAAAGTGTTGATTTAAATCTCTTTTTGTGATATCATATACATGCACATACTGTTAAAATAATACGCTACTCTTTGGCATTTACACGGAGAAATGTCCTTTGATAAATATCACACATGCGTAAACGACAAGTAATCCTTTATTAGTCTATAGTTCAGTCGTTGTCGTTTGTTACTGTCTGGCATATCTGTTTTTCGTTATCTGATTTATTTTTTAAATCTGACCGTTAAATTTTTCGTTTGAATTAATTTATCGTTTCGGCGCCTTTTATAGCTGACTAAACGGTATGGAGTTTGCTCATGGTTAAATGCCGTATGGTGACCTATTGTTGCTTAAATACGCTTCATTTTGAATCTGTTGTATAGTTGTCTGTCACATTGGAAATCATATCATATCTCCTTAATTTATATGGCTAAAACGTGGACCCCAAAGTGAGTTGTGACAGTAATTTGAATGTACATGTAACTGTTCACTTTCAACAGAAGCAGGATACCAGGAGTCAATATATGTATACTATATTTATATCGCTTCAATTAATTTGTATACCTGTATGTGTATAGTAAAATTGTCGATTGCACGATAAATATAAGTTTTCACTATTTAATATATTTAAAGTATATAAAGTACATTTTAATTATTATGTTTGTTGGTGTATCTTTTTTTTATCAAATGTTTTGGTTAATGATCATTACTGAAATAGTGGTAAGAAAATTATAACTTCGTTATTGTTTTTTAGCTCAAAGATGGAAAGAGAAAGTGAATTCCCTGGCCCGTGTAAAATCAGGAGATGCTGTTTGTTTTAAAAGGACTGGAGGATTATACAAACATCATGCACTCGTGTCTGCTGTAAAATCAGGGAAGAAAAGGCTGAAAATAATAGAACTTTCAGGAGACAGTATAGACTGTATGCTTGGGTCTTCTTCCTCGTGTGGTAAGGGTAGTGTATTTGAAACAGCAATTGATTTTGATAAGTGCTCCACAATGTATAAATATTACTACAATACGGAAAGGAAAGACGGTCTGCACCCAGTAGATGTTGCTAGGATATTTTTTGAAGAAGGGCTTCCAAATGATTACCACGTAAAAAGCTTCAATTGTGAACATTTTGTAAGTTATTGTATCACTGGAATTCCGTTTTCCAAACAGACTCGTTCTACAAATAAAGAAGCTGGGCGCTTGCTTGATGAAATCGTGAAAAAACATCTCGATGGAAGTTTACAAGACAAAAGATCTAGCACAACACCACCACTTCATAAAACCCCATACTTGTTAATGGATGGGTGTAATACTGCCTATACCAGCGTTATGCCAGGATATATCGGAACAAACAGATATTCTGGATTGCAGCGTAGATCATTTGCACAACGAGACAGTACATATTCAGGATACATGGAACTCGACTACTTGGATCCGTGCTATGAGGATATTTCTTCATACTATACAGTTTCGAACAACAATTCCTATTATAAAACTGGCGGTTTTATGTATTGAACTATGCACCAAATGGGATAAATGAATTGAGGTGGTTCAATGAAGCAGTTCTACCCGCAGAAGCTATATGTGTTATTTCATTTGGGATGTATAACAAGGTACTCCCATCGGTTTGAATACTTAATTTGTATCTAGTTCAAGACTAGTATACCCTAACTTTCCGTCTATTGCAAATAATTAACTTGTATGTGGTTCAAGATAATAGAATCCTACAACTCTAACTTTTTCTACAAACTGTGTTTGATATACAATTTGCGTGACGTTCAAGATTTTTGAAAATAACACAGCTAATGGTGTCGTGTTACATCACGCTGATCATAGAACTGAAGTTTATTTGTCATCCGAAATATTTGTTGCATTTTGTATTTATTGTTTCACATTTTTTATTATTGTTTTGATACCCGTGTTGTTGTTGTTCACTTTTCTGACGTATATCTTATTTATTATTTTCTTTGCTGATGTTTTTAGATTTCTATTTGTGATATTTTAGAAAATAACTGTGCAATATCACTTTTCTATCTGCCGTTTTCAGAGTTTTGGAAATACAACTGAACATGTAACTATGCCTGGACGAATTAAACAAATCAGTCAGAACATACAAAATAATAATTTATTTATATATTTATATTTGTATATAAATTGTAACTATATTCAGATTTTTATATATAATTAATGATAACATATATATATATTTGGAATCTCTCTCTCTGTGTGTGTGTGTGTGTGTGTGTGTGTGTGGGGTTTTTTTTAACAGTGATCATGCTAGATTTCAGATTAGTTGATAACTTGTTATTTAAATGTTTAGTCAGTGTGAACAAACTCATTTATGTGAAAATTAATTCAAAATGAAATATTCTGCTTTGTAGCAAGAAAAAAAATTCCGTGACCTCAATTTTTATTTTCATTTTATCAAAGGACATTATGAGCACTATCAACTCATATTTCATCTTAAAATCATATCGTTTAGTTTTCTTTATATCTCACAAAATGTCCATGTAAAACCGATACAAAATCTGACAATTTGAAAAACGTGTAGCTTTATTGAAAAATCTATGACCAATAATTTTTATTATATTCTTGAAAAAGCAAGATATTAACTATACATTTTAGCAAATTGTTAAAAAATGTATCGATTTTAATCTAACTTATAAGCCTTTGTTATTGCCTAGTTTTGATTAAGATAATGTTACAAGCATTACGGGATGTATCATAAAACCATTAAATATTATAAATCTATTCACGCAAATTTTCTAACTATTGAGAATAAATTATGTAGTCTGGTCAATATTATTTTGAGTCAAGTAATACGTCTTATCAAATTTATGCTAACAAACGCAAGCGTATTAGCCTTACGTGTTTAATTGTATTCCCTTCTTTGTGTTTTTTTTTCAAATATTTGCATAATTTTGCAAAATTTTGTCTTGATTTACAATCTTTTGCAAAATCTTACAAATATTAAGCATAGTTTTTACGTAGTGTTTCCTTTTGTTGCATGACTCCATAAACTTTTATGTTTTATTCCAAACTTGTTAGATACAGTTAAAAATAAAACATAAAGCAAGACTTATGATTGAAATGATTAACTTGTTTTTTATGTTTACTGATAAGACTATCGTATTTAATGGCAATCGTAGCTCTATATGTATGTCATTCAATAAACATAAAGTAAGACTTTTTTTTAATTCAAGAACTAAATCATGTTATAAAGAGCTTGGAATAAACAGCACAACTGGTAATCCTACATATTTAAGGAATGCCTGTAATATTTTTTCTGTCTATGAAGAAATAACATCAAAAATGTGATGCACACTGAATAACCCGCGTAGCGGGTTATTTTAAAGTGTGCACCACATTTTTATGTTATTTCGAATAGACAGAAAAAATATTACAGTCATTTCTTATAATTTAATTCTAAATTCCTTTTTAAACCGGAGTAAACCATGAAAAAACGTTGATGACGTCACGGTCACATGACAAAATTATGTCTATGAGCTGATAAACAAAACAACGTCAGCCAATCAGAAGACGCGTTACATCCAAAATTAAATTATTCTTTAACATCATTTACAAAGGATGAAAATTTACAAAACCATAAATCTGACCTTCTTTCTTTTGGTATTAACATCAAAGAAAACAAAGAAAATTTACCGTCATTATACTGGATACCAAAACTTCACAAAACTCCTTATAAAGAACGATACATAGCTGGATCATCAATATGTTCGACTAAACATCTTTCTAAAGTGTTGACTACTATTCTTTCTACAGTAAAAGATGGCCTTCAAAAATATTGTGGTGAGATATATTCTACCAGTGGTGTCAATCAGATGTGGATTCTCAAAAATTATAAAGGTCTACTGCTAAATCTTAGATCACAATCTCTGCAATTTTGCAGCAACATTAAGAACTTTGATTTTTCTAAGCTTTACACTACAATCCCCCATGATCAATTAATAGATCGACTTCCCCATCTCATTAAACAGAGCTTTTTCTATGGGAATCGTAGATATAAATTTCTTGTTTTGAGTTATAATCATTCTTATTTTGTGAAGAACCACACTGATTCTATCAGAAAATACACTGATATAATCAAAATGCTGGACATTTTAATCGACAATATATTTGTTGAGTTTGGAGGATTGATATTTTAAAAGACAGTCGGTATTCCAATGGGTATTAATTGTGCACTCCTACTGGTTGACTTGTTGATGTACTCGTATGAAGCATAATTCATTCAGAACCTTCTAAAAGACAAAAAGAAAAAGCACCTTCCAAAATTCTTTAATTTTACTTTCAAATATATAGATGATGTCCTATCACTGAATAACCCATATTTCAGTCAGTACATGCATTTCATATATCCCAGTGAACTTGAAATTAAGGATACTACTGATACAAGAAGATCTGTTTCATACCTTGATCTTTTCCTCAATATTGACACAGATGGACGACTTCACACTAAAATCTGTGACAAACGAGATGATTTCAACTTCCCAATAATCAATTTCCCATTTCTCAGCAGTAACATACCCTCTGCTCCGTCGTATGGTGTTTAAGAAGTCCTGGTATCCTGCTTCTGTTGAAAGTGAACAGTTACATGTACATTCAAATTACTGTCACAACTCACTTTGGGGTCCACGTTTTAGCCATATAAATTAAGGAGATATGATATGATTTCCAATGTGACAGACAACTATACAACAGATTCAAAATGAAGCGTATTTAAGCAACAATAGGTCACCATACGGCATTTAACCATGAGCAAACTCCATACCGTTTAGTCAGCTATAAAAGGCGCCGAAACGATAAATTAATTCAAACGAAAAATTTAACGGTCAGATTTAAAAAATAAATCAGATAACGAAAAACAGATATGCCAGACAGTAACAAACGACAACGACTGAACTATAGACTAATAAAGGATTACTTGTCGTTTACGCATGTGTGATATTTATCAAAGGACATTTCTCCGTGTAAATGCCAAAGAGTAGCGTATTATTTTAACAGTATGTGCATGTATATAATATCACAAAAAGAGATTTAAATCAACACTTTCCCTAACTTGTGAACAGTGGTGTAACAACATAACATAAAAACAAACTGAAAACATCAGTTGGTAATGACTCATGTCGATATCTTTGTTATCAAATTCAACGTTTGGGAAGTCAAACGCTTTTTATAAGCGTAAATGGCAAATTGCAGACTAAAAACAATATTCGTACATTCCAGTAAAATTACGTTTATTTTGTATTCTTAACGATACAGGAGAAAAGTTCGGCGAGCCTTGCTTTTCTTCATGTTTATAATGCTCGTGCAAATAAATGTTATATTTTCCTACAATGAATGACCATTGCTTATTTATCCTATAATCAGGTTTAGTATTATACATTTACAACCCAACAGATATACTTCTGCTATAATTTAAACTAAACGTTTATCTATTAAAGCTCCGCACAATCAACTTTATACTTGAACTTCGATGCCGACAGTTCTGAAGCGATAGCAAATACAAAGGTTTCCACACATAGTTGGATAATGTTTTAATTAATTTGTATGCTACCAAATATAATTATTCACTTGAGGGAATGTATTTGTACGTGATGTTTTTAAAGCGAAAAAATATTACAATGTGTAAAAGAAATGATATATAACTTAAATTGAATGCAGATTCTTAAAGTTATGTCATTTGGTCTCTGGTGGATAGTTATATCATTGACAATCATACCACATCTTCTTACTTTTTAACCATGTGTTAAGTGTATTAAAATATTTGTATTCAGCTAGAAACATAAGAAATGCTCACATTACCTTCACGAATTTTAAATGTCAATAAAATTTGGCCTACAGTTAAAAAGGTTTTGATACAGATCTTATTAAAAAGATTCCCTTGTTGTTTTCTTGTTTTACATATATGTACGGGAGACCCAAAGTGTGACATGAATATTAAAAATCGACGAAATTTCAAGATAAAAGGATCCAGGGCGTTGGATCGACCTTTCGGATCTTTCAAGCTTCAAGAAATTTGTATAGAGATACCGATGCTATTAAGAGGAATATTTTGAAACATTTTTTCTTTGACATATGCAAATTAAGTGCTCAACGTGCATTCTTGACACTCAAAATGTATTGCAAAACACAACCAAATACCGCTTAATTGGTTTATAAAGGTCAATACATTTTGACTCCAATTAGGCTATGCATAGATGCAGATACTATTCAAAAGAATTCCGTCAAATATTTAATTTCGGTATGTACAGAGCAAATGAATTGTCAATTGAATATTGAAAATTGAAACGAGAATCAAGATAAATGATCCATTGTAATCTTTCAATCTTCATGAACTTTGTACATGTCCTTAAGGTAAGCAAGATAGAGAGTTTGTTTGATTGTCGTCGATTCGGACAATGGGCTCTAAATCCGTTTGATATTCAAAACAGTATTGCAAAATAAAACTAGAGAAGGAATTTCGCCCTTACCCTCATTTCAAAATTATCTTTAACTGTCTTTTGCAAATTCAGCCCCATCTGATCTCTTTAATAGCCTTTTCAACCCCCAACAACGGTCTAACCACCCCACATTTTACATTGTGAAGTAATGAAATTACGATTTCTATTTCTGCGCATTGAAGTTTTGATAGATCGTCCATAGCTGATCTTTCGTATTAATCAATGTAGTTTGTAGCAAGATCACCAAAAGTACCAAAAAATTATGATCAAAGAATCGTCGGAACTCTGATTGAGCCAATTTGCTTTGAACATCCATAATAATATTTTTTAAATTCTTATAAACCAAGTCCGGTAATCGCAATTTCTTCTAATATGACTTCTTGTCTTCGCTTGTGGTATGTTATATTTCAAGATATACAATAATTCTTGCCTAAAGTCACAATATGTTTTATGCGCAATGTTAGAAATGATTCGGCTCAGTAAAGGTAATTTTAATTCAATATGAAAACCTAACCTTTTCTTGTCAAAACAACATTTGGATCTCTGTTTTAAATGCCGTTGTCTGATCATGCTGATGGATGACAAATGTTTTGGTCATTATATTCGTACATTTTCCTTAGAATTGAAATCATTTATGACATCCCGTGGTTTCTTTACCATGCAATGAGAAGGTCTTTCAATTTAATGATTTAAGTTCCACAATCATCTTAGCGCTACGCTGTAAATTAGGCACATCAGTAAAATTCAAAACGGTAATTAACGGTAAGAATTCTTGTTTAGAATGACGTAAAATTTAGCAACTACAGGTCACCGTACGGCATTCAACAATGAGCAAAACCAATATCGCATAGCAAGCTACAAATATAAGCTACATTGATGATTTACCTTTCATTCCTTTGATTTCTTCTTTTGAAGGTGAATTATCTATTAAAAAGAAGGAAAAAAAAAAACAGAAGGAAATTATATTAATTCCTTGCGCACAAAAATATGATAAACATTGTTTAAAAAGACAGTGTTATAATGAACACTCAAACATCATGCAGATTATTGCATCTGAAAAAAAGTCAGAGAAAAGTTTTTATTCAACAATAAGAAATACTGCATTGGCGTACCAGCTGAACAGACACGTAGAAATATTTATAGAAAAACAATGTGTTATACCATTTCAGATCCGAAAGAGCTCCGCCCATATCAATTACAAAAATAATGAATTAAATGCAGATATGGTACTGAAAATTTTTTTCATGTATTACAGGTAAAATTGCAAAATTTGTATGCAATTCTTTTTTTTTGCATAAATGATTATCAATGATATGACAATTTTGATCGAACAGGTTCTGAAAAATTACCAATGAATTATTTAGTCATCTTCAGATGTTTTTATCATTTTTTAGTTATATCCACTA